TGCGGCTCTCCTCCATCTACAGCCGTTAACACAAGAGATATCTGCTCTTGTTTCTCTCTGTCTAAAGGCTTCTGTAGCACCATCTCTACGTTTTTAGTCCCGTCAGCGTTACTGTGCACTTTCAGAGCAAAATTATCAGTTGGTTTTAATAAGTAGTTTTCAACACCATTTAATCCAACATCATGGTCCACAGCTCTTCCCAGCACAAATTTTGCACCAATGATTGCTGACTCGCTAATTTTAAATTCCACTTCATTTTCTTCAAAGGTGGGAGCATTATCATTGATATCTGTAATCTGAACTGTAACACTGTAAAATTCCATAGGATTCTCCAAAATAATCTGGAAATGTAACGCACAAAGCGCCGTCTCTGTGCACAGCGCCTCTCTGTCGATTCTGTTTTTGACGAGGAGGACTCCTCTCTCTCTGTTCAGCTCGATGTACTCATCACTGCTCCTAGTATAGATCTTAGCTTTACCTGATATCAAACGCTTTATTTCTAAACCTAAATCTTGTGCTATATTTCCCACTAAGGATCCTTTGGGCATTTCCTCTGGAATCGAGTAGCTGACCTGCCCGAGCACCGAGTCGAGGACCAGGAGAGAGATAAACAACAGTACTTGCCGATTCATTGTTCTATCCGATTGTTTCACCAGTCAGGGTTCACACAGTCTTCTACTATTCCATAAAAGGGATTATCCTTAGATCCAACAGCTGAATTCAGCACTTAGTGGAAGCAAATATGAAGATAGTCCAAATCTCTTTGTCTTTCTATAAGATTATCCACAACCAAAAGTGTTCGTTCCTTGCCCGTCGTGCTTCTCTCCTCATTATGTCGACGTTACATGGGAGGTGCTGCTGCAACCCTTCTATCAGTCATCAACACTCTGGTCAACAGCGGCCCTAAGAGTCCATGTTATAAAACTACAGAAAACCAAATGAAATTTGACTTTGGTAGAACTCACTCTGACCCAACCAGTGGTTACAATACATCTAGAGTACATAATAAATAACTGACTTTTCAAACAGCAGTTTAACAACCTGAAATTCACATGTTGACTGCCTGACGTATTATTATATTTACTGATAACAAACAGACAACCAATAATTATGTGTTTGCTATATCAGATCACTCACGGATCACAGTTGATATGAATTCAAGTGAATGAATAGAAGAGAGACAAAGAGCTCGGAAAACAAAGCTTTACATTAGAACAATTATGAAATAATAATGAGGAGAACAGAGGAAAACAACGACATTAAAAATGAAGAATTCTTCACAGACGAGATAAACGCGTCTAATATTAAACGCGCACCAATGTCTCTGTCCAAGGTTCTGAAATCAACTTATGAATGAGACGCAAAACTCATTTTGTGATGCCACAAAACGTTATAATATCCTTTATGTGCTACAGCTAAAATGTGTTACCACACTGTTTTATTTCTTGCATTATTTTAGCAATTGGCCAAACATATATTTCATTCATACAGTCTAACTGTATACCTACACTTAATATGAACAGACATTTTACTGTGTCATTTTCAAGTGCTTTCCTGATCTAATAGTGGGTATAGAGCATTAAAAATGAAGTGGAACCGTCCTTTCGGGAGTGGTCGCTGCCCCCAGGTTGCCCTTAGCAGGTGGACTTCCTGTTGTCTCAGACGCAATCTAGGCGTGAACGACAGTGTTCCTTATGTGTATTGCTCTTGCTTATTACATTGTTTTCCAGGGTAGTACAAGGTAAAACTTCCCAAAAGTAACTTGATAAAGCTTTGCTTTGATTCTGTATCAGTATATGAGTTTACTGTGATGCTTGTTTGTACGTATTTGACAAAAATAATAAGCTAATTGTTCGAGGTTCAGGCTAGCAGCAAAGCGGGCCATTTGCAGAAAAACCCGCGAGAATGCGTGGTCGAAATACCGCGAGGGTTCATAGACTAGCGCTGGAATGTGTTTATTTTCCTTATGTGAAAGAAATATGCACTTTATATGTTTGATAATGATCCGGCGCAACAGTTGTAAACACATATGGTTATGGAGATTCAGTTGTAAGAACACGGAGTTTTATACTTGTCCATAAAATGTGTTTATACTGAAATTAATGATATGAATGTATTAAAATGTGTTCTACATGGAGTTTAGATGTAGGAGATAGAAGGTAGACCGGATATTTAGAGATAATCTGTGTACGTTATAGTATTATGTCCAGATGTGATCCAGCTGAATATACTAAGAGTTACAGGTGAGTATTCCTGTATATTGTAGTATGGTATTGTATTTGGAGTGAATGCATCGAAGAACAGGTGACTCCCTGAAGGATGTATTGATGATTAGAGTTACCCAAAAGGGAGATGACCTATTCAAACATGTATTATTATGGACAAAAGGCACTTTAACATATTCTGTTGAACAACAATTAAAGAGACGCAATCTGGGGGTGAACAACAGTGCTCCTTGTGTTCATTGCTCTTGCTTATTACATTGTTTTTTAGAAACTCTTTCCTGCTACTGCCGCTCCACCATTGGGGCCGATAACATTTACATGACTGTGAAACCATCTGATTCTGTACTAAAACAACTACTACTATTAATGGAAACAACAAGAAGAAATTATTTTCGGTTCCTCCCCATCCTCATGGTCTTACCCTCAATAAGAAGTCTGTTTATAATCATTATTATTATCGTTGTTTTTTTCATCTAATGAGGAAAGTTTGGCATTAAAGTTCATCTTGGCAATAAACGTGAAATACACCATACATGTCATAGAAATTTAACTAGCTCATAATGTAATAAAGACTACAATCAGGTCTATTAAATGGACCTTTAAACTGTATTTTTCTGATTGCTATTAACTAGAAAACACTGTGAAATATGAATTTCATTTTAAAACACCACGAAAAAAAAAACAGTATTAAAGCAGTCAAACCTCCAGAGGAGAGTCAGGTTCATCCAGGATGCTCTTCTCACCCTGTATCCGCTGCATCGTCCCTGTAGAACTGGGGTCCATTATCAACACGTTCTGACTACCAGCTCCACCAAACTTACAGTCACTCTTCCTGGAGTCAGTCGTCCTACACACCTCGTAGTTGTACACGTGTTGGAGAGTCCCTGTCCCCAAAGTGTCTGAGTAACGTGGTGGATAATATGGAATCACAGGGAGATTGGAGTGATACAGGATGCGAGACTGTCTCCACCTGTCGCTCTTCACTGATATAATAACCACTAAACAGGTGATGAAGAGGAAGGAAACTACAGCCAGAGCCAGCACTAAGTAAAAAGTCAGGTTGTCATTGTACTCCTTGTCGTGTGGAAAGTCAGTGAACTCCGACAGCACTTCAGGGAAGCTGTCCGCCACCGCCACGTTAACAATGACTGTAGCTGAACGAGAGGGCTGCCCGTTGTCCTCCACTATAACAGTCAGTCTCTGTTTCACTGTGTCTTTATCAGTCACCTGGCGGATAGTTCTGATTTCTCCATTCTGTAAGCCCACTTCAAACAGCGCCCTGTCTGTGGCTTTCTGCAGTTTATAGGAGAGCCAGGCATTCTGTCCAGAGTCCACATCAACAGCCACCACTTTAGTGACCAGATAGCCCACATCTGCTGAACGAGGCACCATTTCAGCCACCACAGAGCCTCCAGTCTGGACTGGGTACAGGACCTGAGGGGGGTTGTCGTTCTGGTCCTGGATCAGTATTTTCACTGTCACATTACTACTGAGAGGAGGAGAGCCTCCATCCTGAGCTTTGACACGGAAGTGGAAATCTTTGATCTGCTCGTAGTCAAAAGAGCGCACTGCATGGATGACTCCACTATCAGCACTAACGGACACATATGAGGAGACTGGCACTCCGTTAACAGAGGAGTCCTCCAGTATGTAAGAAACACGGGCATTCTGGTTCCAGTCAGCGTCTCTGGCTTTCACTGTGAATATGGAGAGACCTGGAGTGTTGTTTTCTACAATGTAGGCCTCATATGAGCTCCTCTCAAAGACAGGAGCGTTGTCATTGACATCAGAGATCTGTAAGGTGAGAGTGACGCTGCTGGAGAGGGAGGGCACTCCCTCATCAGAGCAGGTCACTGTGATGTTATACTCTGAGGATCTCTCTCTGTCTAATTCACTGTTCGTTATTATGCTGTAGAAACTATTCGATGTATTTTCAATGATAAAAGGTTCACTACTACTCAGAAAGCATTTAATTACCCCGTTAATATCAGAGTCATCATCATCCACGTTCATAACAGCAACGACAGTCTGCAACGGTGAATCTTCTTGTATAGATTTTGTAGTAGACATTAAATCTATCACTGGACTATTGTCATTCACATCAATAATGTCAAATAGTATTCTGCACGAGTCAGTGAGACCACCCTGATCTTTTGCTTTTACTTGTAGCTGATAATGTTTTGCTTTTTCATAATCTAGTTTTCCAGTCAAACGTACCTCTCCACTTGTTCCATGAATTTCAAATAAATCCATAATTCCCTCCGTGTCACCTGAAATAGAATATCTTATCAAACCATTTGTGCCTTTATCTATGTCGGTAGCTTTAACAGTCAGTAATGACGTCCCTTTCTGTGAGTTTTCCATTAAACTAGCTTTATACGTTGACTGCGTAAATACTGGAGCATTGTCATTTGTATCTAATACAGTTACGTGAATTTGCACTGTTCCTGTCAGCTGAGGTTCACCTCCGTCGACAGCAGTTAATGTTAGAGTCAGTTGCTCTTCTTTCTCACGATCAAGAGGTTTTTCCAAAACCATTTCTACCTCCTTTTCTCCACCTCCGTTGTCGTTCAGTTTTAAAACGAAGTTATCTGTTGGGTTAAGGTAATAGCTTTTGAGTCCATTTATTCCCACATCAAAGTCTAAGGCTTTCTCTAAGATAAATTTTGCCCCTCTGACAGCCGATTCGCTTATTTCAAATATCATATTATTCATTTTGAACATAGGAGCATTATCGTTTATATCTGTTATTTCAACCGTAATGCGATAGAACTCAATTGGATTTTCCAGAATAATTTGAAAATGTAAAGCACAAGGAATCGTTTGTTTGCATAAAGCCTCTCTATCTATTCTCTCCTTGATAAGGAGGAGTCCATTTTCTACATTCAGTTCGATGTATTCTGCGCTGTTTCCAACATGCAGACGAGCTTTTCCTGTTTTCAGACGCTTTAAATCTAAACCTAAATCTTGTGCGATGTTACCAACCAATGAGCCTTTGGACATTTCCTCGGGGATAGAATAGCTGACCTGCCCAAGCACGGAGCACAGAGAGAGCACCGAGAAAAACAACAGTACTTGCCGTCTCATTGTGCTGTTTTACGGTTCTCCGATGCCACAACAAATCAGACAATAATCCGCAAAAAAAAGAAAGTGGTATTCCACAAACAACAAAAATAAGAATGAAAAGAAAAACTTGAACACCAATTTTGATCAAAATATTTCCAACTCCTTTGCCCGTGTGTAGTGTTCACCATAACGCGGATTGTGCATTGTCTCGATCCTTCTTCTCACAAACCTTAATGATATGGGAGGTGCTGCTGATTTCTACAGTGAAACTACCACACACTAGCCAACAGCGTCTCTAAGAGCACAGAACACCAAACTGCAGGACAGTGAGATCAGAGGGCTCCAAGCACCATGGGGTGGAAAAAAGGATACTGTATATTTTTTTTGAAAGTGCTGGAAACTATGCCATGGTGTTTAATTCTCCATGTTGCCTAAGGCAACTGAAAACAAACATGTACAAAAGCACAGAGTTAAAAGCTAAAAGGGGGAAAGACTCAAAGTATATAGATAAGGGCACAATATGTCAGCGGTAAATCATCAAGTCCTTACTGCCAGGATATTTTAAATGTACGAAGCATACTGTGAAAACACACAATCACACACGTAAAACTGTTCAATTTAGGACAGAGTCAATGTGACAGCACGTATGGGAATATAAAAGACAGCTGAGTCCTTTCAACTAAATATAGGATGTGTCGTCTAGCGCTGTCCTTGGTGCTGAATCATGACCATTAAAACTGAAGAAGAGAATCAGCTAAAATTGCTTATTTTATGTTGTTTTATTTTAAAGCTTTAAATGTTAGAGCTACTGCAAAACTAACCTCTAATGGAG